ATCGGTATGCTAACAAGAACTGTGGCACTGAGGAGAAAGAGGTTGACAAGAAGGAGAATGTGGATTGTTCAAATGCGAAAATAATTTCAAAGTCATCTATGAAATTTCTTGCAACTCATGGCTTGGAACAATGGTGGCCAAATGATGCAGAACTTTGGAAAATCATCTATGATGGAAAACTCGTAAGCAAGAAAATTAAATCTCTATACACCAATACACCTTGGGAAGTAACAAAAGGATCAAATCTCTCTTTTCTTTCACTTGTCATGTGTGTTAGAGAAAAAGAAGAATTCATAATGAAATTTAATAGTCTGAAATCCATGATTCCTTCAAGTAGCGAAGCTCAAGTGTGCAACAACGAAGGCAAGATTTCAGATGTTGGTTTGAGGGGTTGGATACCTCAATTATCTTGCTTGAAGGATGCTGCTTATTGGGTGTGGAAATGCGTTCCTCATCAGTATGTTAACAAGAACTGTGACATTAAGGAGAAGGAGAATGTGGTTTTGTGCAAATGCAAGAATAACTCCAAAGGTGTGTGTTGTTTCCAAAGAACAAATGTTTCTGACAACTCATGGCTTGGAACAATGGTGGCCAAGTGATGCAAATTTTCAGCAAACTATCCAAGATAGTAACCTCATAAGCAGGAAAATTCGATCTTTATACACCGAAACGTCTTGGGTAACACAAAGATTAAATCCTTTTAACTTCACATCCCCATTTGTTTCGGTAATATTGGAGAAAAAGAAGAATTTGCATGGAAATGGAATATTGTTAAATCTGCAATTCTTTCAAATAGTGAAACTCAGGCGAGCAATGATTACAATAACAATACACCATATGTACCATTGAAGAGTTGGATGCATCCATTATTAAGCTTCAAGGATGCTAGTTTTGCTGTGGTAAAAAAGGCTTCTCCTATGTTGAATCTGTCTTTTGTTTCACCGGTCACGAGTCATGGAAATAATGAAGAAAAGGACAATTTTGTTTCGAGTAGTGAAACTCAAGTGAGCAATGATTCAAACAATACTTCATGTGAAGGATTGAAGAATTGGATACCTTCATTATCTGGCATGAAAGATGCTGCTTTAGGGATAGGAAAATTGGTTCCGTATCTGTATGCTAACAAGACTGATGTTGGCATAGGAGAGAAGATGTTTGACAAGGAAAACAAGGGTCCTTTGCAATAATAGTGTCAAGTGATGAACTCTTCATCTGAATAGAAGAGAAAATTGTGATGTTAGATACTAAGTGATTAGGCCAAAAAGCTTCTCTAAGTTGGTGGGAGGTCTCTCTTACATGTCATTTTGTCAATTGTGCTATGTTTATATGTATGTTTTGGTATGATATTATTGCTAAATTTCATCTCCTAAACATTATAACAAGAAATACTTTATAAGCGAATATGTGCTCAAATTTTAACTCATTTATTTGATTTTATGGGCTTAAACTGTCCTTCTGGAGTGCAAACCCATACACAATTGAGATCAAGTTATGTACATAAGAGCTTTATAAACATCTATAATATTGTCTAACATTTCGATGTGGGGCTTCTTGACCTGGTTTGCTCTTGTTCTTTGTTGACTGGATCCATTCTTGATTCTTCAATTTCATTAAAAAATAATATGGGAATGAAGATAGTAACCCTCTTTTTCAAGCTGAATTCATGTATGCATTCATTTAATGATATAACATTGATGAAGACCTGTCACAATATTCTATTATATTGTTTGATGGAGTCCATAAGTAAACAATTTACAAACTGAATGCAAAAGTGAAAATTGAATATGACATGCCTCAAATTGTTAGTACAAGTTGGAGGAGCTGAATGCAAACCTCAAATCTAAAACACATTACATGTGGCCACTTAAACATTGAGTGATTATGATGCATGCAAGAAAATAAACCTAAACAGAACATAACCAAGTAAGATAGCTTCATTAAATTAAATACACCAAAAACACCTTTTTCTTCTTTCTTTCTATCACTAACTGTCAGTTGGGATTTTCGATAAGGTCTAATATCCAACTAAGAGAAAAGAATCTAAGAATATTATTTGAAAAGGTGAAATTATCTAAGTCGATTACAGCTGCAGTCGAACAGAGGAGACCCTGTAAGTAGTTAATTAGGCCTGAAAATATCAAAAAGCCCAAAGAGTCCAGACCAAGCGAGCGAAGCGCTTTGGAAGCAAAAGTGAGTTTGAGTGGAGAATGTGAGTTTGTAGAGAGAAGTTGCAAAATACATGTGGCGTACAAAGAAACGAAGCTCGCTAGAATACAATTATTATATGTGTATTATAAATAAAGCACTTAGTGCATAGTGTTAGAGGTTCAAACTTCCACATTTCTATACGCTAGTCATCTAGAGTATCCAAATGAATGAGAAAAATGAGTAAAGCTAGGGAAATGTATATTTGAATCAACTTATTTTCAACTATTTTGATGTTATGTCATTTATGTTTACAGTTTAAAACGCTTTTCATTTTATTTTACAAGTCTTGCTTTATTGCTTATAAATCGTTTGACATCAGTCGAATGAATCCTTTTTTGAAAACACTTTGTGAAAACACTCGAAAACTGAAGCATTGTACTGCGATTCCCTGGCCGATCTCGCAAGTAAAATTTTGTTAAGAGACCAGCGTTGTTTACTGAAACCAGAGGTAAACAAATTGGCACGCCCAGTGAAATAGTGTTAATAATTTTGTATTTGTGTTTGGTTTTATAAAGTTTCTTGTAGTTTAGTTTATGTGTGTATGAATTTAAGAAGTGGTAAACATTTATCGAAGTCTAAAATGCCATGCTCTGACACAAATACTGCACATACACAGATTTCTATGCAAAATGTGAATATCATACCATTGAGTACCACAACTCAAAGCGCGACGGTTTTATCTCCTGTTAGATCGACCGCTATTCATGGTTCAGTGACAATAGTCACAATGACATAACCTAGGCATGGGGTATCACCATTTGACCCAAATCGATCACTCTTTCTAGGGGGTCCAAGGTCATCATTTGTCTTTTATCAATATGGTATACTTTATTCCATGATGGTTGGGTTACAACCGAACCCATTCACATATATAGAAAATGCAGTGGCCACTGGAAACCAAGGCAGTTATGTCCCAGGTGGTCGACCAAGTGGTGTTGATTATATCCCTTAGTCGACACCATCAGTGAATACTACTTCTGTTATGGCTTTGAGGCAACAAATGTATGAGAGTATTTTAGAGTTAGTGAATGTGTTAACTCAGCAAATGGGAGTTGCCTTTAATCATGTAGTTAACCAAATAGGCAGATTGATCGAGTCATTAGAGGTCCAACCAACTCAGACGCGCCAAAGACCATTAAGAGTTTTTGAAGATCTGAAGGGAGGTAACAATGAGCGTCCTTTTAGACCTCGAAGGTTGGAAGTACCCACTTATGAAGAGGAAGAATTCGTTGAAAAATATGAACATAGGCCAGTCGTGGTTAGGAGGAACCAAGATTCTGATCGAGTGTTAAGAAATGCCACTGTTGGGCGTAACAACATAGTGAATATAGTAGAAGAATTGTTAACATGATCATGGGTAAATGTTGGCCTTCAGAGGCCTAATTATTCGTATCCCTTGTCTAATTATATTCGAAAGACAGAATTATCTAGGGGGTGTAAGGTACATAAATTTACCAAGTTTGCTGATGATGCTAATGAGTCGACCATCAAACACATTGCTAGGTACGAAACAGAAGCTGGCGATATCGCCAATGACGAGGGTTTAAAATTAAGACATTTCCCTAATTCATTAACCAAGAATGCTTTTACTTGGTTTACAATATTGACTCCAAATTCTATACGCATTTGAGAACAACTTGAGGGCATATTTCATGAGCAATTTTATGCTGGTCACCCCAAGATAAGTTTGAAAGAATTATCCTCAATTAAGAGGAGGTCGTCTGAGTCAATGGAGGCTTATTTGAATAGGTTTAGGGTCCTAAAGTCTAGATGTTTTACTAGAGTTCCTAAACATGAATTGGACGAAATGGCCGCTGGGGGGTTAGATTATTCTATTAGGAAGAAGTTTGATCTTTAATCTATTACAAACATGTCTCAACTAGCTGATAAGGTTCGATACATCGAACATTTGAAAACAGAGAATGCTAGAGTTTTAAAGGATCATAGAAAAGGCAAAGTGGCCTATGTGGATACGGAGGATTATTCTATAGAATCTGAAGATGAATTCGTGGAAGAAGGAGAAGTTAATGTGGCTGAATTAAAAGCCGGACCTCCATATGCATGTAAACCTATAAAACCGTCAAAAGGAAAAACGGTTGAAGAACCAAAAAATTATAAATCTAATACTAAAATATATATTTTTGATATGTTAAAATATGATGAAATATTTGATGTTTTAGTTTCATATGGTCAGATTATAGTTCCTTCAGGCAGTAAAAATCCACCATTAGAGCAGAAACAAAAAAAGAGGTTTATGCAAGTATCATAATTTTTTGGGTCATAAGCAGGAAAGTGAAATCTCTATACACGGCCGGCACACCTTGGGAAGTAACAAAAGGATCAAATCTCTCTTTTATTTCACTTGCCATGCATGTTGGAGAAAAGGAAGAGTTCATATTGAAATGTAATAGTCTTAAATCCATGTTTCCGTCAAGTAATGATGCTCAAGTGTGCAGTGACGAGGATAAGATTTCCGGTATTGGTTTGAAGGGTTGGATACCTCAATTATCTTGTTTGAAGGATGCTGCTTATTGGGTGTGGAAATGTGTTCCTCATCGGTATGTTAACAAGAACTGTGGCACTGAGGAGAAGGAGGTTGGCAAGAAGGAGAATGTGGATTGTTCAAATGCGAAAATAATTTCAAAGTTGTGAGTTGTCTCAGAAGAACAACAGAAATTTCTTGCAACTCATGGCTTGGAACAATGGTGGCCAAATGATGCAGAACTTTGGAAAATCATCTATAGTGGAAAACTCGTAAGCAAGAAAATTAAATCTCTATACACCAATACACCTTGGGAAGTTACAAAAGGATCAAATCTCTCTTTTCTTTCACTTGTCATGTGTGTTAGGAAAAAAGAAGAATTCATAATGAAATTTAATAGTCTGAAATCCATGATTCCTTCAAGTAGCGAAGCTCAAGTGTGCAACAACGAAGGCAAGATTTCAGATGTTGGTTTGAGGGGTTGGATACCTCAATTATCTTGCTTGAAGGATGTTGCTTATTGGCTGTGGAAATGCATTCCTCATCAGTATGTTAACAAGAACTGTGACATTAAGGAGTAGGAGAATGTGGTTTGTGCAAATGCAAGAATAACTCCAAAGGTGCGTGTTGTTTCCAAAGAACAAATGTTTCTGACAACTCATGGCTTGGAACAATGGTGGCCAAGTGATGCAAATTTTCAGCAAACTATCCAAGATAGTAACCTCATAAGCAGGAAAATTCGATCTTTATACACCGAAACATCTTGGGAAGTAACACAAAGATTAAATCCTTTAACTTCACATCCCATTTGTTTCGGTAATATTGGAGAAAAAGAAGAATTTGCATGGAAATGGAATATTGTTAAATCTGCAATTCTTTCAAATAGTGAAACTCAGGCGAGCAATGATTACAATAGCAATACACCATATGTACCATTGAAGAGTTGGATGCCTCCATTATTAAGCTTCAAGGATGCTAGTTTTGCTGTGGTAAAAAAGGCTTCTCCTATGTTGAATCTGTCTTTTGTTTCACCGGTCACGAGTCATGGAAATAATGAAGAAAAGGACAATTTTGTTTCGAGTAGTGAAACTCAAGTGAGTAGTGAAACTCAAGTGAGCAATGATTCAAACAAGACTTCATGTGAAGGCTTGAAGAATTGGATACCTTCATTATCTGGCATGAAAGATGCTGCTTTAGGGATAGGAAAATTGGTTCCGTATCTGTATGCTAACAAGAGTGATGTTGGCATAGGAGAGAAGATTGTTGACAAGGAAAACAAGGGTCCTTTGCAATAACAGTGTCAAGTGATGAACTCTTCATCTGAATAGAAGAGAAAATTGTGATGTTAGATACTAAGTGATTAGGCCAAAAAGCTTCTCTAAGTTGGTGGCAGGTCTCTACATGTCATTTTGTCTTTTATTTGATTTTATGGGCTTAAACTGTCCTTCTGGAGTACAAACCCATACACAATTGAGATCAAGTTATGTACATAAGAGCTTTATAAACATCTATAATATTGTTCGATGTGGGGCTTCTTGACCTGGTTTGCTCTTGTTCTTTGTTGACTGGAGCAAACCAAAAGAAAAGAAAAGAATCTAAGAATATTCTTTGAAAAGGTGAAATTATCTAAGTCGATTACAGCTGCAGTCGAACAAAAGAGACCCCTTAAGTAGTTAATTGGGCCTGAAAATGTCAAAAAGCCCAAAGAGTCCAGACCAATCGAGCGAAGCGCTTTGGAGGGAAAAGTGAGTTTGAGTGGAGAATGTGGGTTTGTAGAGAGAAGTTGCAAAATACATGTGACGTACAAAGAAACGAAGCTTGCCGGAAAGCAGTTATTATATGTGTATTATAAATAAAGCACTTAGTGCATAGTATTAGAGGTTCAAACTTCCACATTCCTATACGCTAGTCATCTAAAGTATCCAAATGAACGAGAAAAATGAGTAAAGCTAGGGAAATGTATATTTGAATCAACTTATTTTCAACTATTTTGATCTTATGTCATTTATGTTTACAGTTTAAAACGCTTTTAGTTTTATTTTACAAGTCTTGCTTTATTGCTTATAAATCGTTTGACATCAGTCGAATGAATCCTTTTTTGAAAACACTTTGTGAAAACACTTTTTGAAAACACTCGAAAACTGAAGCATTGTACTGAGATTCCCTGGCCGATCTCGCAAGTAAAATTTTGTTAAGAGACCAGCGCTATTTACTGAAACCAGAGGTAAACAAATTGGCACGCCCAGTGAAATAGTGTTAATAATTTCGTATTTGTGTTTGGTTTTACAAAGTTTCTTGTAGTTTAGTTTGTGTGTGTATGAATTTAAGAAGTGGTAAACATTTATCGAAGTCTAAAATGTCACGCTCTGACACAAACACTGCACATACACAGATTTCTATGCAAATGTGAATATCATACCATTGAGTACCACAACTCAAAGCGCAGAGGTTTTATCTTCTGTGAGATCGACCGTTGTTCATGGTTCAGTGACAACAGTCACAATGACATAACCTGGGCATGGAGTATCACCATTTGACCCAAGTCGATCACTCTTTCCAGGGTGTCCAAGGTCATCATTTGTCTCTTATCAATATGGTATGCCTTATTTCATGATGGTTGGGTTACAACCGAACCTATTCACATATACAAAAAATGCAGTGGCCACTGGAAACCAAGGCAATTATGTCCCAGGTGGTCGACCAAGTGGTGTTAGTTATATCCCTCAGTCGACACCATCCGTGAATACTACTTCTGTTATGGATTTGAGGCAACAAATGGATGAGAGTAATTTAGAGTTAGTGAATATGTTAACTCGGCAAATGGGAGTTGCCTTTAATCATGTAGTTGACCAAATAGGCAGATTGATCGAGTCATTAGAGGTCCAACCAACTCAGACGCGCCAAAGACCATTAAGAGTTTTGAAGATCTGAAGGGAGGTAACAATGAGTGTCCTTTTAGACCTCGAAGGTTGGAAGTACCCACTTATGAAGAGGAAGAATTCGTTGAAAAATATGAACCTAGGCCAGTCGTGGTTAGGAGGAACCAAGATTCTGATCGAGTGTTAAGAAATGCCACTGTTGGGCGTAACAACATAGTGAATGTAGTAGAAGAAGTGTTAACATGATCATGGATAAATGTTGGCCTTCAGAGGCCTAATTATTCGTCTCCCTTGTCTGATTATATTCGAAAGAAAGAATTATCTAGGGGATGTAAGGTATATAAATTTACCAAGTTTGCTGATGATGCTAATGAGTCGACCATCAAACACATTGCTAGGTACGAAACAGAAGCTGGCGATATCGCCAATGACGAGGGTTTAAAATTAAGACATTTTCCTAATTCATTAACCAAGAATGCTTTTACTTGGTTTACAACATTGACTCCAAATTCTATACGCACTTGAGAACAACTTGAGGGCATATTTCATGAGCAATTTTATGCTGGTCACCCCAAGATAAGTTTGAAAGAATTATCCTCAATCAAGAGGAGGTCGTCTGAGTCAATGGAGGCTTATTTGAATAGGTTTAGGGTCCTAAAGTCTAGATGTTTTACTAGATTTCCTGAACATGAATTGGTCGAAATGGCCGCTGGGGGGTTAGATTAGTCTATTAGGAAGAAGTTTGATCTTCAATCTATTACAAATATGTCTCCACTAGCTGATAAGGTTCGATACGTCGAACATTTGAAAACAGAGAATGCTAGAGTTTTAAAGGATCATAGAAAAGGCAAAGTGGCCTATGTGGATACGGAGGATTATTCTATAGAATCTGAAGATGAATTCATGGAAGAAGGAGAAGTTAACATGGCTGAATTAAAAGCCGGATCTCCATATGCATGTAAACCTATAAAACCGTCAAAAGGAAAAATGGTTGAAGAACCAAAAAATGATAAATCTAATACTAAAATATATACTTTTGATGTGTCAAAATATGATGAAATATTTGATGTCTTAGTTTCATATGGTTAGATTATAGTTCCTCCAGGCAGTAAAAATCCACCATTAGGGCAGAAACAAAAAAGAGGTTTCTGCAAGTATCATAATTTTTTTGGTCATAGTACTTCTTAATGTTTTTTTTCCAGGGATTTGATACAGAAAGCTCTGAAGGATGGTAGATTAAAATTTGGTGAAAAACCAAAAGGCTCCATAAAGGTCAACTCAGATCCTTTACATGTTGCTGATGCATACTTTGTCGAACCATTGGAAGTGTTGATAATCGAGGCTATTGACGGTCTCGAAGGCGAATAAGCTAACATTGTTGACCTAATGGCAGCATTGACAATCGAGACTACTGATAGTCTCAAGAATGAACAAGTTGTTATTGCTAATTCAAAGGTAGTTACAACAGTCGAGACTACCGAAGGTCTCAAAAGTCGCAATGGCAATTTGTCCAAGCCACATAAGGTGATGGTAGTTGATATTGTTGAAAAGCCTGAGTAATTAGGACGATAAGGAAAAAATGGATTGTGAAACCAAAGATGAGGAATTGTTTGAAGGAACGGTTGCTGAATTGATGAAGGTCGTGTTTCCCAAACCTGAGGAGCAACTTGTAGATTTTCTGAACAGATGCAAATTAAGTAATTCCAGGTCTATGTTATGCCCAAGGTGGAACGTGGTCTATGTGTCGTACCCCAAATTTGTCCTACCTTTGCAATTATATTTTCAAGATTAAAAATACAGAGAAATGTTTAATTAAAGATGGTCCAGCAATATTTGTTGGTCCATTTTTTAAGAAGAATTCAGATCAACAGGGGGTGTATTAATTCAGGAAAGTGGGGTTTTTTGAATCGGAAAGACTCGTGTGTCCGTAAACCCATTCGCAAAGCATGTTGGCCATTGGCCCATGATATTCGAAAATGAAAAACTATTTCAATAATAATAATTAAGTTCTTGTTTAAACTCATTTAGGTATTGTTATTAGGAGGAGATAATTCAATTTACAAATAAATTAAAATTCATATTGGCTCATTTCTTTTAAATAGCAAACAACGAAAGGGGACATGCTTATCAATAACTAAGTACATTAAGTTACTTTATGGCTCATCTGTTGTTTTTGAAAAAAAAGAAGTATTATTATTATTAAAAAAAAGAAGATAAAACTGTTTATTGTTATTATTTTAAAAAGATAATAAATAAATAAATAATATATTTTTTAAAAGAAAACGTAACACATTTTTCTTGTACTCCTAATAAACTTAAACTTGGTTTCTTGTTCATTATTATTTTTATTAAGGATTGGTGTTTTAGAAAAAAGGGCCATTTGGACCGGTTGTGTAAAGATAAAAAGAAATGGTTTTTGCTGTGATGGGAAAAACAATGTTGTTGGGCTAAACAAAAGAAATAATTAAATAGCGCATGCCCAATTCCATATAATCAGCGTAAGGACCAAATCTAATAACAACAACTATTCCAATTACCCCTAAATTAGCGCATGTTTTTGTTCACTTACAGCTACTGTAGAAATTAAATTAAACCATAATCAAATCTTTCTTAGTCCAAGCCCAGAAAATTGTTGTTACAATTCAAACCTAAAAAACAAAAACATTCTTAAATCTAAAAAATGTAAGTCAAATATCAGTGAACAAAATCAGTTACAATACACTAAATCTAGGAATTACAGTAAAAGCAAAATCAAATCTATTACAAAAATCAATCAACAACAATCAAAACCCTAACATAAATCTAATCCCTAATTGATGCTAATCAATTATAACAACAATTAAAACTCTAAGCCTATAAATATTGTATAGAATTAACAGAGGGGAGAGAGGACGGGAAGGACGGAATCGCGAAGAAAATTGGAAGAACAGAGGTTGAAGAAACCTATCTTGTTGTTGAAGAAGATGCAAAAGGGATCGGTTAGGGTTTCAACATCTGAAACCCTAACCGCCGATGCTAACTTCCATTAACGATTGCACCTTGCCTCCGCGCCTTCAATCTCATCGCCGCCTCCACTCAAACTTACCGGAACCTGCAAACAAACGAAGAAGAAGAGGAGATTAAACCCAGAAGCCCGGAGAACTCAAAATCAAATTTTGTATATTGGGGTTGATTTGCAGTGGAATAGGGCTTTGTTCTTCAGCGTTGTCGCGGTGATTAAGTGGGTTTAGGGTTAGCAAGGGTTAGGGGTTTGCTGGGTTGAGAGTGAGAGAGAGAGAGAGAGAGAGAGAGAGAGAGAGAGAGAGAGAAAGGAGGGGTTTGTTGTGAATACGAAAATGAAGGAATAATGTAAAAACAACAACTTGTAATCCATAGCAATCCCATGCGCGCACATACATAATAATTAACATACTCCC